CTCACTGCAGCCTGGATTTCACCTCAGTCTCCTAAGTAGCTGGGACTATAGGCATACACCACCATGCCCAGCTAAGTTTTGTATTTTTTGTAGACAGAGTCTTGCCATGTTGCCCAGGCTAGTCTTGTACTCCTGAGCTCAAGCGAGCCTCCGGCCTTGGCCTCCCAAAGTGCTGGGAGGGGACAGGCACCACACCCAGCATTTAATCTGAATCTTCACAACAAGTCTGTTATTATCTTCACATTACAGATGAGGCAACTGAGGGACAGAGGTTACATACTTGACCAAAGTCACACACACAGCTAGTAAATGCCAGAGCCAGGAATTAAACCCAGGCAGTCTGATTCCAGAGTGTGCTCTTGGCTGGAGAATGCATGGCACAGGGAATCTGCTCAGTACAACACTTGCTCATTTTTTTCATGGGTGGCACTTCCACACCAGCTCAGATACCCTCAGTGCCACCTCAGTGCTTCCCTCCCACCCAGTTCCAACTAAGTACCTTTTCTTTTTTCTTTTTTTTTTGAGACGGAATCTCGCTCTGTAGCCCAGGCTGGAGTGTAGTAGCTCAGGCCAGAGTGTAGTGGCACAATCTCGGCTCACCGCAGCCTCTGCCTCCCAGGCTCAAGTGATTCTTCTGCCTCAGTCTCCTGAGTAGCTGGGATTACAGGCATGCGCAACCATGCCCAGCTAATTTTTGTATTTTTAGTAGAGACGGGGTTTCACCATGTTGGTCAGGCTGGTCTTGAACTCCTGACCTCGTGATCCACCCACCTCCGCCTCCCAAAGTGCTGGGATTGCAGGCGTGAGCTACCACACCCGGCCCCAGCTAAATACCTTTTCTGTAGCCAGCACTGGGGAAACTCCCAGGGAGAGGAATGGGGAATTCCTGGGATCGTGGAGAGACACTCCCAAGGACTAGGAAAGCCTTCTGTCTCTGCCTGGCATGCTTCTGAATAGGGGAGATGTCTCCAGCTTGGTCCAGAGAGAGGAATCTTCCTAGAGTAGAACTAGGGGTAGGAGAAAAGTGCTTTTGGGGGACCCATGCTGGGCACCCTCCAGGGGGGTGGAGGGGAAGAGTAGGCACATCCCCCATCCTTTTAGTCTCAGCCCCTGGGAACCCACCCTGTCCCCTATCATCTCTTTTCAGATGGCTTCCTCAGACAGCCATAGAAGGTCTGTGGGCAGGACCTGGGCAGAGTGGGATGGGTTAGGATCAGATGGGATGAAGGTCTGAGGCCAGGCCCTTAACTACCATCACTGGACATTTGGTTCCACCTAGTGGCCTCTGACGTTCCAGCCATTCTCACAGAGACAGGCACAAGGGGTGCCCTTTCAGGCATTCAGTGTTTATTGAGCACCTACTCTGTGTGAGGCAAAATGTGAGGTTTGATGGAGGCATATCCATGAGCATAAAGAGGCTGAGCATAAAGAGGCGCCTGTAATCCCAGCAGTCTGGGAGGCTGAGGGGGGTGGATTGCTTGACCCCAGGAGTTCTAGACCAGCCTGGGTGATATTGGTAGACCCTATCTCTACAAAAAAAAAATGGCATGGTGACATGTGCCTATGGGCCCAGCTACTTGGGAGGCTGAGGTGGGAGGATCAGTTGAGCCCAGGAGGAGTTAAGGCTGCAGTGAGCCTAGATCCTGCCACTGCACTCCAATCTAGGCGACAGAGTGAGACCCTGTCTTTAGAATAAAATAAAATAAATAAAATCAAATAAGAAGCAGAAGGTCAGGCAGGTGGTGTGCACCTGTAGTCCTACCTACTCTGGAGGCTGAGGTGGAAGGATTGCTTGATCACAGGGGTTTAAGTCTGCAGTGAGTATAATCATGTCACTGTGCTCTAGCCTGGGCAATAGACCAGGACTTTGTGCTTGATTTTTTTGTTGTTATTTAAGAGCAGAGAACTAACACTTATTCTGCTCACACATACCAGCCCTGGGCTTGGGTCCATACTGTGTCGGCACGTGCCTATGAAGCACTGAGGATCCCACAGCAGAGACAGGACTGCCGAGTGCCTGGCCTGGTCACTTGGTTTCTCTGGACTTCAGTTTCCACTCCTGAAAAATAAGAAGGTTGGTGTAGATTATCTCTAGCATCTCTTCCTATGTTGGAATTCTGTGAAGTCACACAAAGGAGTGGTGAAGAGTTTCAGCTTTGGGCTGGGTGAGGTGGCTCATGCCTGTAATCCCAGAACTTTGGGAAGCTGAGATGGGTACATCACTCAAGCTCAGGAGTTTGAGATCAGCCTGGGCAACATGGCAAAAAGCCTGTCTCTACTAAAAATACAAAAATTAGCCAGGTGTGGTGGGTGCACACCTGTGGTCCCAACTACTCGGGAGGCTGAGGTGGGAGGATTGTTAGAGCCTGGGAGGCTGAGGTTGCAGTGAGCCAAGATCATGCCACTGCACTCCAGCCTGGGCGACAGAGCCAGACCCTGTCTCAAAAAAAAAAGTTTCAGCTTTGGAGTTGGACAGACCTACATTTGGGTCCCAGCTGTCATTCACTAGCTGTGTGTTCTTAGGAAAGTTGCCTTACCTTTCAGAGTCTAGGAGAGCAATATAAAGAGTAAGTGATAATTATAGCAAGCATTGAGCAAAGTGTGGTACTTGGTGAGTGGTGATGCTGCAGATGACGGATGATTCTAGTTACCCAAATCCCCAAATAACCACACCACAAGGCGGAAGGTGGTAGGCTCCTCTCCTCTCCTCTCCTCTCCTCTCCCCTCCCCTCCCCTCCCCTCCCTTCCCCTCCTCTCCCCTCTACCCACTTCCTCCCTCCCTCCCTTCCCCTCCCCTCCTCCTTTCCTTTCCTCTTTCTTTTTTTGACAGAATCTCACTCTGTCGCCCAGGCTGGAGTACACTGGCCATAATCTCAGCTCACTGCAACCTCCACCTCCCAGGTTCAAGTGATTCTTCTGCCTCAGCCTCCTGAGTAGCTAGGATTACAGGTGCCTGCCACCACGCCTGGCTAATTTTTTTTTTTTTTTTTGTATTTTTAGTAGAGATGGGGTTTCACCATGTTGGTCAGGCTGGTCTTGAACTCCTGACCTTGTGATCTGCCCACCTCAGCCTCCCAAAGTGCTGGGATTACAGGCTTGAGCCACTGTGTCCAGCCTTTTTTTTTTTTTTTTTGAGACAGAGTCTTGCTCTGTTGCCCAGGCTGGAGTGCAATGGCACAATCTCAGATCACTGCAATCTCTGCCTCCTGGGTTCAAGTGATTCTGATGCCCTAGCCTCCCGAGTAGCTGGGATTACAGGTGTGCACCACCATGCCTGTCCAATTTTTATATTTTTAGTAGTGATGGGGCTTCACCATGTTGGCTGGGCTGGTGAAGGTGGTAGGTTTCAATGACAGCAGCCTAATGCCATGGGAGTTGGGAGGAGGGAATGATCTGACTCACTCTGGGGCAGGTCTTCTAGTTAGTTCTCCAGTGGATTCTCCTGGGCATCGTGTGGTCTGTCCTCAGAACCGTGCCTCCCTAATGTGGGTGGGTAGATTCACTATCCACTCCATGCTTGAGCTATGCCTCAACCTCTCCCTCCCATGCACAGCCAAAGCCCCTCAAAGCTGCTGGTTTTCCTTGACTCTGGGTTTCTCTCCATCACCCACTGCCTCCCAACAGGTCCCCCGGTCTCTGTATCCTCCTGTTCCAGACTGTTAGGACCCCAGCTGCCCATCAGGGACTCCTCTAGAATAACTTAGTTGAGTCATTGTCTGCTTAACAACCTGTGATATTCTCCATTGCTTATGGGATAAAATCTAAACTCCTTGGCTTGGCATACAAAGTCCTTTACAGTCCAGTTCCTCCTCTGCTGATATCTCCAGGCTCTTTGTCCCAAGGGCCCATGATCTCTCCTCACCTCCCTTGCACTCCAGTCCCCTTGACAGACTTGCTGTCTTGTGGGAACATCACCTGCTTTCACATCACCCAGCCTTTGTGTGTGCTGTGTCTTCTGCCTGGAGCATCCTCCCTTCCCATAGTCTGTCAGGCAAGCTCACAGCCATTTCTTGGGATCCATTCAAATGTCACCTCACTTGGAAGGCCTTCCAGATCCCCCCAGATTTTCTTGGGTTCCCTCAGCATCATGACCTTTGCCTTTCATAGCATCTATCACACTGACTTTACTTACACATGTACTTCCTTCTCTGGACTGAAAGCTCATTGGTGGCAGAGATCCTTTACATTTTTGTATTCTGAGTGTCTTGAACACAACATGTAGTCAGTAAAGACGTGTTATTGCAAATGTCCATGCATCTTGTGTCTGGCTCAGAATATGGTGTTTTAGACTGGGTGCAGTGGCTCACATCTGTAATCCCAACACTTTGGGAGGCCGAGGCAGGTGGATCACCTGAGGTCAGGAATTTGAGACCAGCCTGGCCAACACGATGAAACCCTGTCTCTACTAAAAATACAAAAATTAGCCAGGTATGGTGGCGGGCACCTGTAATCCCAGTTACTCAGGAGGCAGGAAAATCACTTGAACCCAGGAGGGAGAGGCTGCAGTGAGCTGAGATCGCACCATTGCAGTCCAGCCTGGGCGACCAAAAAAAAAATAATAATAATAATTAGAAATCTCTGGAATCAGATCTGGGTTACGGGCCTTGCTCTGCCTTTTATCAACTATGTGGCAAGTGACTGACCTCTACAAACCTCAGATTTGTGATCTGAGATTAATTGCGGGTTAATTGAGAAATCAGCTGAGTGCTAGGACCTAGGAAGTGTTTCACAAGTGACAGTGATGGTTATTGCTGAGTTTTGAATGGAGGAGCTGCCGTAGAATCAGGAGACCTGCACCCCAGTTCCCATTCTGCCCCACCTCCCTGTGTCACCCTAGGCAGGCCACATTTCCTTCCTACTCTCAGGGGCCTGAAGCAGGTGCCCTCTTAGGGCCCCATACCTGATGTGCTGTAGGGCCTGAGAAGTGGCGTCGTGGGTCGTGGAGGACGAGACGTGTGAGGGCAGGAAAGAGTGCTGTGTGTCCAGCAGAGGGCCCTGCCCGGCCCATGGCTGGAGGCTGGGAGGGAGGGCAGGCGAGTGTGATGCCAGACGCCTGACTGGAGGCGGATCCAGCCGGCCAGCTGCCTCTCTGGAGCCCAGCTCTTGGGCCCCTGCACTCACCTGCTCTTCCCGGGGTGGCTGCCTCCTGCTCATTCAGCCATGCGGTGGCTGTGGCCCCTGGCTGTCTCTCTTGCTGTGATTTTGGCTGTGGGGCTAAGCAGGGTCTCTGGGGGTGCCCCCCTGCACCTGGGAAGGCACAGAGCCGAGACCCAGGAGCAGCAGAACCGATCCAAGAGGGGCACGGAGGATGAGGAGGCCAAGGGAGTGCAGCAGTATGTGCCTGAGGAGTGGGCAGAGTACCCCCGGCCCATTCACCCTGCTGGACTGCAGCCCACCAAGCCCTTGGTGGCCACCAGCCCTAACCCCGACAAGGATGGGGGCACCCCAGGCAGCGGGCAGGAGCTGAGGGGTAATCTGACGGGGGCACCGGGGCAGAGGCTGCAGATCCAGAACCCCCTGTATCCGGTGACCGAGAGCTCCTACAGTGCTTATGCCATCATGCTCCTGGCGCTGGTGGTGTTTGCGGTGGGCATCGTGGGCAACCTGTCGGTCATGTGCATCGTGTGGCACAGCTACTACCTGAAGAGTGCCTGGAACTCTATCCTTGCCAGCCTGGCCCTCTGGGATTTTCTGGTCCTCTTTTTCTGCCTCCCTATTGTCATCTTCAATGAGATCACCAAGCAGAGGCTACTGGGTGACGTTTCTTGTCGGGCCGTGCCCTTCATGGAGGTGAGTGTGTGTTCTGTCTGAGCTCAGTTGGGAGGCTGCAATCCAGGGAAGGGGTTCAAAGTCTCCATCAGGTCCTTGGAAGTGGAATTTGTGGGTGTGCAAAACCTGAGTCTTGGAGCTCTGGCTTGCTTCTCCTCTACCTTGGAGAAGGAGACAAATACGGTATTGGTTTCTGGTTGCTCTCAAGAGAAGTAGGCAGGCCAGGGGGACAGGCGGGTATGTGGGGTCCCTGGGTTCCAGCCCCAGCCTGATCTCCTGCTTCAGGAGCAACCTCAAGGCAGGTCTCTCCCACTTTCTCCAGACCCTAAGCTGCCCTCTCCCTTCCTCAGCCCTTCTCCCCTGTCCCACCCAAGACCTCTTTGTCCTTTGTTGCGGTTCCTCTTCTTCCCTCTGTACCCTCTGCGGCTGTCCTGCTCCCACAGCTCCCTTCACCATCTCCTGCCTCCTGAAGGAGTGCCTGAAGGGAGAGCCCAGTTTCCTTCACACCCGTCTGGATCAAGTCAGCGTCCACTCCACAAGAATACAAGCACCAGAAGCAAAAGACTGCTCTGTTCTTCCCTCCCTGCTGGGATTCTCATTGTTACCATTGTCGTCTCCACCAGCAACTTCCTAGATCCTCTCTGAAAGGGAATACCTGGTTCTGGGCACTGGAGCTAATGGGGGGCTCTAGTCTCAGCTCTACCACTAACATACTGGGCGTCACTGGGCGTCACTGGGCAGGTTGGGAGACCAAGTCTCCCAACCAGGGTGGGTAGACCAGATGGTCCTTCCAGCTGGCCTGTTCTACACTTCTAAAGTATACCACTATGCCCTCACTTCTGGGAATGTCTACGATAAGTCCACGGGTGTCAAAGGATATGTAGAGCATAGAGAGACAACTGAAAACACCGAAGAAATATACTGATGTGTGCATTTATGCAAAACACAGCAAGGCCACCCTCTCTTTATAAGACAAAATAAGCAGTCTTTCAAATTTGGGCTGCATGGAGTGTAATGGAGTGACTGTGGCCTCCCTGTGAAGCTGCTGTTCCTTCATGAATGATGCTGTGTGACAAGGGAGACTTGCCTGGCCGGAGAAGGGCTCAGGATCAGGCACACGGACACAGGTCCTATTCCAAGGTCTGTCCCCACCTCATCATGTAACAATGATGATGTCATAGTTGGACAGACTCCCTGGGTCTCAGCAGTGGGTACAGTCCTTTCCTGTCCTTCCAACCCAGGGAGACTGACTAACAGTGGTCCAAAGGTACTCCACCCTGAAAGAAGACCCTGTGCTGGGCGCAGTGGGTCACGCCTGTAATCCCAGCACTTTGGGAGGCTGAGGCAGGCGGATCGCTTGAGGTCAGGAGTCCAAGACCAGCCTGGCCAACATGGTAAAACCCTGTCTCTACTAAAAATAAAAAATTAGCCGGGTGTGGTGGCACACGCCTGTAGTCCCAGCTACTTGGGAGACTGAGGCAGGAGAATCGCTTGAACCTGGCAGGCAGAGGTTGCAGTGAGCCGAGATTGCGCAGCCTGGGTGACAGAGTGAGATTCCGTCTCAAAAAAAAAAAGAAGACCCTGCAACTGGAGAGAGCCTTTGCCTCTTAGTTATCATCCTGTGCTCACAACCCAGGTGAGCTGGGCGTGCTTAGACACAGGACTCTGAAATTGAGCAGACTAGATTAGAAACTGGGCTTTTCCCATCACTCTCTGTGTGATTTGGTAAATTACTTTAACTGCCTAAATCTCCATTGCTTCATTGGTAAATTGGGGATAATAATAATAATAGCTATCTGGGTGAATTCTTAAGGGATTAAATGGGTGATGTCTATACAGTGCTTAGAATTAAAATCAATAAATGGTGGTTTTTATTTGGGCATGGTATAGAGGAGAAGGGGAAAAGGGCAGACACGTACGACCTCTTGCTTGCATGTGGCTGGTAGGTAAATGAACACCTGGCCCTCTCTGACTGTGGGTCCTGACATACGTAATGTCCTCCTGGGCCAGCCCCTCCACACCTCCTGGAGGATAGAGATGATCCACAGGCTGGTAAAGAGTCCTCCTTCTAGGCTGGGTGGTGGGACGGGTGGAGGAAGACAACACCCTTTTTCCCTTTTTTTGAGACAGAGTCTCACTCTGTCACCCACAACACTCTTTTTCTTTATTTGAGACGGAGTCTCATTCTGTCACCCAGGGTGGAATGCTGTGGTGTAATCTCAGCTCATTGCAACCTCCGCCTACCAGGTTCAAACAGTCCTCCCACTTCAGCCTCCCGAGTAGCTGGTACCACAGGCGGGCAGTACCATGCATGGCTAATTTTTGTAGTTTTGGTAGAGACAAGGTTTCACCATGTTGCCCAGGCTGATCTCCAACTGCTGAGCTCAAGCAATCTACCTGCCTTGGTCTCCCAAAGTACTGGAATTACAGGCGCGAGCCACTGCGCCTGGCAACACCCTTTTATAGGGAGGATCTCAGGATGGCGCTGAGGAAGGAGCAGGAAAAGGCAGCTTGGAATAAAACTTGAGATATTTTTGAGATGTAAAATAGAAGGACAGGGCCGGGCACGGTGGCTCACGCCTGTAATCCCAGCACTTTGGGAGGCCGAGGTGGGTGGATCATGAGGTCAGGAGATCGAGACCATCCTGGCCAACATGGTGAAACCCCGTCTCTACTAAAAGCATAAAAATTAGCTGGGCGTGGTGGCATACGCCTGTAATCCCAGCTACTCGGGAGGCTGAGGCAGGAGAATCACTTGAACCCAGGAGGCGGAGATTGTGCCGCTGCACTCCAGCCTGGCAACAGAGTGAGACTCTCAAAAAAAAAAAAAAAAAAAGGAGAGAGAATGGCGGCGTTTCTACCCAAGCTTAAAGGCTGTGCCTCCACAGGCCTGGGCTCCCCTGCCAAGAGACGGGGTTGGGGTTCTCACAAAGGACCCTTGGTGACCGTGCTAAAAGCCGGGGATTGTGTTCCCCCATCCAGAAGAGAGAAGAATTTGGACAGGAGGGGGATCTGAGCACAATCTCTGAGTGTGGCCGAGCAGCGTCTGACGGTGCGGGAGGGTCCCCTCTTCCTTCCTGCTCTTTGGCACTCTCCTCCCCTGCTGCTCAGGCTGCTTCCTCTTGGCTCACAGGGTGGTTTTCCATGCGCTTGATGAATAGTGTGTGGGCATGGTGGGCACAGGCTGCTTGGAGGGGGGCCACTTCCCCACACAGCCAGGCCCTGGGCTTCTCCGGACAGGGCCAGGAGCAGGGACTCTGTGTGTGTGTGTGTGTGTGTGTGTGTGCACGTAACACACACACGTAAGCCATGTTCCCCAAGACCATTCATCCCATGCGTGCACATAATGGGGTGTGGGCAGTGGAAGGACCTGCAAAGATCCAGAACTTCTATGTCTTCATCTTGGTTCTTCCTTGGAGATGATTTTCCAAAGTCTGTCAGAGAGCAACAGGGTCTGTGGGAGCCAGGCCATTCATCCCCCAGCCTGAGAGGCAAAGAACAAGGGGGAAGGAGGCAGGTGTGTGTGCAAACCTTAGCCCCACCATTCATCAGCAGTGTAGTCCTGGGCAAGTCACTCTTCCTGCCTGAGCCTGAGCTTTTTCAGCTGTAAGGTGGTTGATTGGGAATGTGATATGTAAAGTTCCTGACCCATAGGAAAAGATCATTAAATGGAGTTGTTACTATTATTATAATTCATTTCCTTCCTTCCTTCCTTCCTTCCTTCCTTCCTTCCTTCCTTCCTTCCTTCCTTCCTTCCTTCCTTCCTTCCCTCCATCCCTCCCTCCCTCCCTCCTTCCCTCCCTCCCTCCCTCCCTCCCTCCTTCCTTCCTTCCTTCCTTCCTTCCTTCCTTCCTTCCTTCCTTCCTTCCTTCCTTCCTTCCTTCCTTCCTTCTTTCCACAGGGTTTCGCTCTGTCACCTAGGCTGGAGTGCAGTGATGCGATCTTGGCTCACTGCAGCCTCAGCCTTCTAGGCTCAAGCCATCCTTCTAACCTCAGCCTCCAGAGTAGTTGGGACCACAGGTGTGCCTCACCACGACGGGCTATTTTTTTGTATTTTTAGTAGAGACTGGGTTCCATCATGTTGCACAGGCTGGCCTCGAACTCCTGGGCTCGAGTGATCTGCCTGCCTCAACCTCTCAAAGTGCTGGGATTATAGGTGTGAGCCACCGCGCCAGGCCCATTATTATAATTTCTATGCTTATCACTCCATTCATTGTCTAACTGAGCCAGAAGCCAGGTGTCCTTCCTTGTCCCCATAGGTTTTGACCAAGTGCGTCTCTCTTCCCTCACATCCTGCCCACAGGTCTCCTCTCTGGGAGTCACGACTTTCAGCCTCTGTGCCCTGGGCATTGACCGCTTCCACGTGGCCACCAGCACCCTGCCCAAGGTGAGGCCCATCGAGCGGTGCCAATCTATCCTGGCCAAGCTGGCTGTCATCTGGGTGGGCTCCATGACGTTGGCTGTGCCTGAGCTCCTGCTGTGGCAGCTGGCACAGGAGCCTGCCCCCACCATGGGCACCCTGGACTCGTGCATCATGAAACCCTCAGCCAGCCTGCCCGAGTCCCTGTACTCACTGGTGATGACCTACCAGAACGCCCGCATGTGGTGGTACTTTGGCTGCTACTTCTGCCTGCCCATCCTCTTCACGGTCACCTGCCAGCTGGTGACGTGGCGGGTGCGAGGCCCTCCGGGGAGGAAGTCGGAGTGCAGGGCCAGCAAGCACGAGCAGTGTGAGAGCCAGCTCAACAGCACCGTGGTGGGCCTGACCGTGGTCTACGCCTTCTGCACCCTCCCAGAGAACGTCTGCAACATTGTGGTGGCCTACCTCTCCACCGAGCTGACCCGCCAGACCCTGGACCTCCTGGGCCTCATCAACCAGTTCTCTGCCTTCTTCAAGGGCGCCATCACCCCGGTGCTGCTCCTATGCATCTGCAGGCCGCTGGGCCGGGCCTTCCTCGACTGCTGCTGCTGCTGCTGCTGTGAGGAGTGCGGCGGGGCTTCGGAGGCCTCGGCCGCCAGTGGCTCGGACAACAAGCTCAAGACCGAGGTGTCCTCTTCCATCTACTTCCACAAGCCCAGGGAGTCACCCCCGCTCCTGCCCCTGGGCACACCTTGCTGAGGCTCCAGCAGGGGTGGGGAGGGAGGGAGGGGCCGCCACCCCCGGCGGTGCCTGCTGTTCTTTCCCCATAGGTCTTGCTTTGCTGCCTGTCTTGCTGTCTAGAGATGGACTTGGTTCCTCTTGTCAAGGTTTGGGAATGTCAAAGCCCCCTCCCCACGCAGGACCTTTCCTGTCCCTTGTGGGGCCTTCCAACCCTGTCCTTTCCACTGGTGGGTGGTGATGCTTCTAGGTCCTTAGAACTGCCCAGAAACTCTGCGTCCCAGCAGCTGGGAGCCAGAACTTTGCCTGCCCTCCCTTGGTTCCAGTCTCTCTTCTTGCTCTCTGCCTTGTAACCTGACCATACTTTAGTTGTGCCCTTCCCAGGCATCATCTTCCAACCCCCAACCTGGGGCCCCATCTTGGAATGGGGGCTCTTTGGGGGCTCCAGCTCAATGTGGCTCACCACACTCTTTTTTTTCTTTTCTTTTCTTTTCTTTTTTTTTTTTTGAGACAGAATCTTGCTCTGTTGCCCAGGCTGGAGTACAGTGGCCTGATGTCAGCTCTCTGCAACCTCTGCCTCCTGGGTTCAAGCGATTCTCCTGCCTCAGCCTCCTGAGTAGCTGGGATTACAGGTGTGCACCACCACACCCGGCTGATATTTGTATTTGTAGAAGAGATGGGGTTTCATCATGTTGGCCAGGCTGGTGTTGAACTCCTGACCTCAAGTGATCTGCTTACCTTGGCCCCCCAAAGTGCTGGGATTACAGGTGTGAGCTGCCGCGCCCGGCCTCAATACACTCTTCTCTGGACTGGATCTGTCCCAGCCCTGGATGCCTCCTCCTACTGGTGCCTTCTTTTCTTCCAGAGGATTTCTCTCTCCTTCCTCCTCCTTTCTTTGGGATGCCCTGGTTGCCCTATCCCAATCTCCCTGTTAGGTGCTTTCCCATAGGAGGCCCTTCCTGAGAAACAATAAACTAGGTAGAACTACCCCTACACCCATCCACTTTCTTGTGCCACATTCTGGCAGGGCCCAGATGCACCTGGGCCTTCCTGGCCTGGCAATGCCTAGGGGAATTTCTGCTGACCTGGCCTGGCCTGTGGCTGATGTTCAGAACAGCCCTGTGGCTCTGGGGACTCCAAGGGTTTTATGGCTTTTGAGGGACAGAGAGGATGGAGGGCTCGGGGAGCCGGGGGACCTAAGTCCTCATCCTGGTCTAAACCCCATGCTCCTTGGGAAATCAAAAGCCTGGAAAATCTCTCTCCTGGAGCCCTCGTCCCTGCTATTGCCCTCTCTCCACAAAGCCCCCCTTGGAGGGAGGCCAGTGCTCTTTCCTCTGTGAGCCCCAGGACTTCCCAACCTTTGTCACTCTGAGAGCTGCTCTTGTTCAGTTTCTTAGAATGGACTGTTTTGCCTGTAGACGGCCCAGCTGCCTGCCCCGGCCTGCCCCGCCCAGCCCCCACTGCACCACCCTTCCCGTCAGAGCTCCCACTGCCCCCGGCAGACCCTTCATGCAGCTCCTCCTGTGGGGTCTTGCCCTTGAAGTCCCACTTCCCCCAGCCCCACCTCTGGGCCCTTCCAGAGGGCACCATTAGCCTTGTGGGTCCCTGGGAAGCTGGCACAGCATCAAACAGAAGTGATGTCTCAGCCAGGTTACCAATCACTCCCTGCCTGGGAGCTCAGCTTTCCTCAGAACCGCCGCCCCGTCTGAAGCTCTGTCCTGGGTCCCGCCGGACTTCTGCTCACCAGGCCTACCTAGAACTTCCACACGGGGCCTCAGGAAGGGTCCCGGGGGCCCAGGGACGGGCAGAGGCAGGGGTTCCGAGCACCCGGGGCTCCATTCTCCTCTGTCCACCCACCCACACTCCTTGGCCTCAGCCTGCCCTGTACCCAAGCTTCCCTCCCCCTCTCCTGGGGATCTTAACGGCCTTGTTCTCTCTCCCTGGCACCCACCCCCAGGGCGGGTGATGCCGCCAAGAGAGAGGGAGGCCGTTGCTAGGTGATGGCGCCGCCATGCGCACACCCTTTGTGCTGGGGAGTGACACCCACCCATTTCTCAGCAGACCTGTTGCCACGGTGACTGAAGCCCCCAGCTCTGTCTGTAGAAACTTCAGATGGCTGGGGGAGCAGGTTGGAGAGGGGACCAAAGGCAGGCCTGTCGCGCTGAAGCTCCTAGGGACCATTTCCTCCCCATTTCCCCAACTCCTTCTCCGCCCCCCACCAGGCCTGGAGGCACCACCAGCTTCCTAAGGGATACAGGAAGGGGCCGGGTGAACTGAGGTGAAGTCCAGGGCAGGGGAGGCAGACCCCTCAACATCCTGTTTGGGAGTCCTCCTCCACAAAGGGTGCCCTCCGCCTCTCCCTCCTGCTGGTTGGTCGACTCAGAGATGAAGGGGGAGAGATCGTGGCTCCAAGGCTCTGCCACTGCCACCTCCCAGGCCTGCCAACGTGAATGGCTTGCAGAATCAGTCAGCAGGCCAGCAGTCTTGGGAAAGAGCCACTGTCCCCGCAGCCTGGGCCAGCTGGGGGAACAATGTAGGGTTTGTTGCTTAGGGGTCCTAGGCTTGCGGGGGGGGTTGGCACATGGTGGGCGGTGGACTTGAGCTGGGATGCTCTGCGATGCCACTGACATGCTTGCTCACCCAAGGGCAGGCTTCAGACCAGCCCTCAGATCCTGATGCCAGGTTACGGGGATGAGGGGGGGGGAGCCTGAAATCCACTGCGTCTCCCTGCTCCACTTGGGAGTCACCTTCTCATCACTTATCCTGGAACCTGAGTGCAATTACTTAAACCCAGTCTCAGCTTCCTCATCTGCAAAATGGGAATAATCTGTCCTTCACAGAGGAGTATGGTCATTTAATGAGACAAGATACATAAAGCACTTTGCATAGTGCCCCAAACCTTTTATTCCTTCCTCCCCTTTGGGAATTCAATTCTCCAATGTGATGGAGCAAGCTTGGCCAGGGGATTCTTAAATGCATCCAGGTTTTGGCATCAAAGGGCCCCAAACATGACAAATTACCTATACTCATGGTCTGTTCCCTGTTCACCTTTAATAGGTTGTGTGTGTGTGTGTGTGTGTGTGTGTGTGTGTTTTTAAGAGTTGGGGGGGGGGTCTTACTATGTTGCCCAGGCTGGCTTTGAACTCCTGGGCTCAAGCAGTCTTCCTGCCTCAGCCTCCTGAGTAGCTGGGACTACAGGTGTGTACCACCATGCCTGGCTGAACACTTACTTTTTGAAACAGGAGCTCACTCTGTCACTCAAGCTGAGTGCTGTGGTGTGATCATAGCTCATTGCAGCCTCTGTTTCCTGGGCTCACACAATTCTCCTGCCTCAGCTTCCTGAGTAGCTGGGACTGCAGGTGTGCACTACCACGCCTGGCTAATTTTTGATTACTTGTAGAGATAGGGTCTCACTATTTTGTCCAGGCTGGTCTCAAACTCCCGGACTCAAGTGATTCTCCTACCTTGGGCTCCCAAAGTGTGGGATTACAGGTATGAACCACTGCACCTGGCCCTTGAACAAATTCTTTAAGTCTTATTAGTACCTGCTGCATGCCGGCACTCTAGAAGGAGGATGCTCGCTTGCTTCCTGGTAACCAGGTGTCTTATCTCAAACCTCGGTCCTCACTGAGGATCACAGGATCTAGAAAGGCACCTCGGCCTGGAAACAGCCCCAGATGAGTGAGACTGCTGGTCCTCTCCCAGGATCCCAGGCCCAGGGCAAACCCAGACAAGCTTGCAGCCAGGAGAGGGCAGGGGACAGAGCCCTGGCCCCCCTTCAACCTCCTTAGCCAGGAGGGCATGTCCCATTTTCCTTAGGAGTTGGGAAGTACCCTAGAATCACTTAGCTTCAGATGCCAAATTCCATCCACATTCTTTCCTCCAACTCTCCAGCAGTGGGGAACTGCCTCTCCAGGCAGGGCACTGCTCTGACAGGTCTGATGACGGCCTCCAGGAGGAAGCTCTGGGCACCAATGAAGGTGAGGGGCTGGGGGGCCCAGGATGAGGAGTCAAGATCCCCACTCCCAGGACTATGGGACAATTTGGCTCCTTTTTCCTGCAGTGGGAGGGGTGAGAAGGGCTGGGGTGTTCTGCAGGGGCCTGCTCCATTTTCCAGGGTGAAGGAGAGGCCGAGGGAGGTGGAGCGGGAGGAGGTGGGGCTTACTGTGAAACTGGGTCAAGATGGCCTCGGATTTGAGCAGGCAGGGCCACCAGGCTCTGAGGCAGCAGCTGTGAGCAGTGCCGAGGGAGGACCAGTCTGACGGTGAACGGTGAGGTGGTGGGGAGGGGCCGACTAGAAACAGGCAGAGGAGCGAGGGCAGGCCTCCTACCAGGAAACCCATAGCATTGGCACTAACTGAGAGGCAGCAAAGGCGGTGACACTCCCCCAGGCTCTGTGGGCCCAGCCCTACCCCTGGAGCACAGTTAACTGGTTCTGGGGTAGGAACTGGGGGCCAGAGGGACAGGGTTCTGGTTCTGGCTCAACCTTGGCTGCCGGTGAGATCCAGGGCCTGGGAAAGAGGGGCTGAGGCCTGAACTGGGCCTAAGGAGAGCGCAGCTCAGTTCGCACACAAAACAGCACCCAGCCCTGTCCCTTGCCACCTCTACCCAGCCCTGGGCAGTTCTCTCAACAGAGCTTTGCAGCCCCACGTGGCAGCTGCTGGCTCAAAGCTGGCTACATGAAAGTCTGAAAAGAGAATGAGAAGGAGGTGGCACAAGAGCCTGGACGCACGTGTGGGAGGCCGTTTTGTGCAGCGCCATTGTGCTCCCCGGGCGGGCATGTGCTCGCGCTCCGTGGCTCTGTTGGTGCCCACTGTGCAGGGGTGTGCTGGTGGCCCTGTGGGCCTGTCGGGCAACCCATGCCAACTGCGGAGAAGTAACCGGCACCATACACCCCCCCAACACAAAACTGGTCATTTATTTTTGTTGTTGTCATTGTTATTAGGAGGCAAAAAAATGTACAGTTACAAGAATCATTTTCCAAACAGAGGTTAAATATGAGCTGAAAAGTGTAAAAAAGGAAGAGGAACATCACTTTACAAATCATTAAATTAAACAAATAAACAAACAGAACCCAAAGAACCAACCCCCCATGCTGAGTTCTCTCCTTGTGCAACTCTGCAAAATGAGAACAGAAAATGAAGTGGGCTGTGGAAGTGGGGGCCCTGGGGAGGGGCGGGAGCTGGGAGCCAGGAGCAGGCAGGAGGGGGCTGCTGGGGCATGGATGCTGGCTTTCTGCCCCGTGCACCTGGTGGTTTCTGGTACCTGGTCGTACCTGGTGGCTCTACCCAGGCTGGGGACCGAGGGGAGGGGCCCCCGGAGGCCTTTGCTAGCCTGTGGGGTTCAAGCACTGCCAGGACAAGCCAGACTGGGCGGTGGAAACACACGGGACAGGGGGGTGGCCACCAGTGCCCAGGCTGGTACCTGCCGCAGGTGCCAGTCTCCACCTCTCCTGATCTGAACTTGCCCCAAGTCCACCTGCGTCTCCCTCCTTTTCTCCAGACTGCCCCCTCCCAGATCCTGAAAGGGATGCCCTGCAGCATCAAATGGTTGATTTTAGTCTTTGCTTAAATTAAAAAATTAAAATATATATACATATATATACTGTACACACAGGACAATAACAGAGAGTGTTGAAAAGGGAGGTGCAGGAGTGGGCCGGGGAAAAGCCAGGGGCGGGGGCTGTGGCCCAGGGTTGTTGGGAGGGAGGCAGGGCTGGGTGATGGGACAAAGGCAGGGGGGAAGGGTGAGAAGTTAGGGGACCAGAATGGGGGGCAATGTATTTTACAATAAAAACAGGAGTTCAAACCTCAGCAGAACAGGACTCTGGGGTCCCCAGAGGGCCCTCCTCACACTGGGTGAGGAGGGGTGGGCTTAGGGGGACGATGGGGGTGGGCGGGGAGCTCGGCTTCAGGTTTAGATGACGACGGTCCCTGGTCTGAGGGAGAAGGGCTGGAGTCTCAGCTTCTCCGTGACTTTGAGTGTTGAATAAGCCACTGTAGGGTGATGTCTGAGAGGCGAAAAGAGAACAGCTTAGAAGGCCTGCAAGTGCTGGCCATGCTGGGGCAGCAGAGGCCTAAGAAACCAAACCTAAGGGTATCAGAAGTCCAGAGGTGCCAGGAGGGATGGCGCACACCTGGAGTCCCAGCTACGTGGGACGCTCAGGTGGCAGGACTGCTTGAACCCAGGAGTGGAGTTGGAGGCTGCAGTGAGCTATGATCACTCCACGGAACTCCAGCCTGGGTGACAGAGCGAGACACTTTCTCAAAAGCAAACAAACAAGAAGTCCAGAGCTGGCAAGCGCCACACGGCCCTGAACAAGTAGTAGCGGAATCCAGGTGCTGGGAAAGAGACAGAGCCACAGCCTGTCAGAGCCAGCAGGGACCTGAGAATCACGGGGTCCAGCCCTGGAATCTTAGAAGTGAGGCAGTGAAGCCCAGAGCAGGGATCAATTTCCCCGAGATCACACAACCACTTGGGGACGAGCTGGGATAGTGCCCAGAATCTGGGCCACCCGGCTGCCTTTTCCCCAAGAGCCACAGGGCTTTGGACTTAAAGGAAAGTTGTGGAGCGAGAACCTTTGAGAGCCACTAAAACACCCAGAAATGCCTCTCCCCTCTCCTCCCCTTTCCCCAATCCTACGCACCAATGTTGTCCTTTTCTTTGCAGGAGATGGAGTAGCAGCAGATCTCTCGGTCCTGGATGGCAGACAGATTCCTGGAGGAAACCAGAGTAGAGTCCACTGAGGCTACGCACGTCCAGGGGGCCTGGGACTAAGGGACAGCAGGGCCTTTTTCTTAACAGGCTACAATGGGGAGGGTGAGGTGCCTGAAAAGATGGGCTCTGCTGCCACCGTGTGGCTAATACTAAGAACAGCAGCAAGCCTAGGCTCTTGGTCTGGTGGTTGGGGAATTGGGAGAGCAGCAAGTAATATAAAGAGCCACCCAACTCACATTTTCTCAATCAGCTCCTTCTCATCCAATGCTCCCGGAAGGTCTCGCTTGTTACCCAGGACTAAGACCTATGGAGAAGCGAGGGTGAGGATGAGGTCTAGGGCAGCTGTGCCCAGGTTGTCTGGGTGGTGAGCTGGCCTCCTGGGTCCCGTTTCCTCTCTGCGCCCCTACTATGCCTGGCTTTTACCTGCCCCCAGTGACTTCCCAGCCGAGCTCCCTCCCCATCCCGCTCCCACAGGTCTGCTGACCGGGATGCCCTGCAGCTGAGGTTTGTCCAGTAGGTTGTGGAGCTCGTTTTTAGAGGCCTCAATCTTCTCCTGGTCAGCAGCATCCACCATGTACCTGGGGAAAAGGGCAGGGTGGGGACAAGCATGTTGACACCACAGGCTGGGGTGGTGCAAGGAAGAGAAGGAGCTGCTGCTTGGAGGAGAAAGCATCTGTTGCAGCTTGGTCACTTCAGGATCCATGGGCTACCTGGCCTGGCTCAAGGCAGGTGCTCCGTGGATGTGTTCTGAGTCTATGGGAGCGAACAGCTGCGGGGACTCCTGGGGCCTGCCATTAGCCGCCAAGTGCTACTCTGGGGAAGCCATTACTCATGTGGAAAAGCATGGGCCCTCTGGGATTAGCTGTAAGACCCTCTCAAAGTGACCCACTTATGTTTTCATGGAAAGACTAAGTAAGGTTAGAGTGAAAAAAGCAAAGGAAACCTTAGAAGATTTCTTTTAGCAAGATACTTTTTGTTATCAGGTTAAAAAGCAACCTGTTGTTTATTCTAAACGATCTATTGTTTGGGCATATATATATGTAATACATTTTATTATTATTATTAATATCATTTTTGAGATGGAGTCTCACTCTGTAGCCAGGCTGGAGTGCAGTGGTGCAATCTCAGCTCACTGCCACCTCCGCCTGCCAGGTTCAAGCGATTATCCTGCCTCAACCTCCCAAGTAGCTGGGACTACAGGCGCATGCCGCCACACATGGCTAATTTTTTTCTATTTTCAGTAGAGATGGGGTTTCACCGTGTTAGCTAGGATGGCCTCGATCTCCTGACCTTGTGATCCACCCGCCTTGGGCTCCCAAAGTGCTGGGATTACAGGTGTGAGCCACCACACCCGGCCTATTAGTTTTTGAGACAGGGTCTCACTCTGTCACCCAGGGTGGAGTGCAGTGGTGCAATTACAGCTCATTGCAGCCTCAGCTTCCCAGACTCAAGAGATCCTCCCACCTCAGTGGTCTGAGTAGGTGGGACTACAGGTGCGTGCCAGCAGGCTCAGCTAATTTTTGTACTTTTGTAGAGATAGGGTTGCGCCATGTTACCCAGGTTGGTTTTGAACTTCTCATCTCAAGTGATCCGGCTGCCTTGGCCTCCCACTGTGCCCTGCCATTTTTCAATGTTTAAAATTTATTTTATTTTATTTTTTTAAAGACAGGATCTTGCTATGTTGCCTAGGCTGGCCTTAAACTCCTGGGCTCAAGCAATCTTCCTGCCTCAGCCTCCCAAGTAGCTGGGATTACAGGTGTGTGGCACCATGCTCAGCCAAAAAAACATTATTTTTAAAAAGCAAGAGAGGGCTGGGCGCAGTGGCTCATGCATGTAATTTGGGAGGCCGAGATGGGCAGATCACCTGAGGTCAGGAGTTCGAGACCAGCCTAACCAACATGGAGAAACCCCATCTCTACGAAAAATACAAAATTAGCCAGGCGTGGTGGAGCATGCCTGTAATCCCAGCTACTCAGGAGGCTGAGGTGGGAGAATTGCTTGAACCTGGGAGGCAGGAGGTTTCGGTGAGCCAAGATCACGCCATTGCACTCCAGCCTGGGCAACAAGAGCAAAACTCCATCTCAAAAAAAAAAAAAAAAAAAAAAAAAGAATCGTTTAAATCACACAAAATTCAAGACAGTGGTGACTTGGGTTGAGGGGAGGGAGACAGTTAATGAAGAGAACACACAGGTGTCTGTTTCTTAGATTGGGTAGTGAGCGCTCAGGGCATTTATCCAGTGAGAAACGAGCAGCATGCAAAATAAAGGCAGGCCACGGACCGACACTGTGTCATGAACTGAGGATTATGTCTAATACAACCCTGCGCCTCTGAGGTCCTCGAAGGTAGCAGGGCTAGGGGAGCCAGGTAAGGCTGGAGTCTGGGGATGCCTCCCGTGTACTTACACGATGGCGCTCACTCCTCGGCAGTAGCGCTCCCACATGCTGCGGAAACGTGGCTGTCCCCCAATGTCCCAGAGCTGAGCAAGAAGAGGGTGAGATAGCCTCAATAGTGGGCAGGCCACCAAAATGGTCTCAAATGCCCCCTCCTACCCTGCCCTACTCTCCTCTGCCTCCCCGGCTTTCTCTCCAGTTCTCCCCCCTCTCCACCCCACTCTCCATCTACCTTAGAAGTCTTCTACCATCTTTTCCCAGCTCCTCAGCAGGGGGACCCTGGCCTCTGCCCCACTTGAACTCGCTCCTCCCAGGGGCCTCCATTGCCCTCCCCAACACACACACACAGAGTCCTCTGCACCCCCTAACTTCCGAGCCCTCACCTTGATAGTCACATTCCCTTTGGTGATTTTGCGCATGTTGAAACCCACGGTGGGGATCATGTCCTCGTTGAACTGTCCTGACTGGAAAGAAGACTCAGAATGGGAAACGGTGCCAAAATCGACATGTCCTAGCCACAGACAAAGAGGCTGCAAGAACCATGCAGAGGCCAGGCCAGAGCGTCCTAGGCGTCCCACCGTGGGGTACTCTTGCATGTCCCGCGCTTTTAGGCAGGATGGGCTATAGCCAACCTATGTGTCCTGCCTACACTCGGGGCTGCCCTGTGAAGAGACCCACTTTTATCAGTCTCAATCTCTCTGCCTAGACTACGGGAAAATTCTTCCTCAAGTCTAACGTACATCTCTCTGTAGTAACTGATGCTACTTTCTCTCCAGTGGAGAGGAAGAAGAAATTACCTCCCAGGAAGAGAACTTGAGGCAAGTCATGTTCTAACAGTTAAGGACGATCTCAAGAAAGCAGACGCATTTTTTTTTTTTTTTTTTTTTTTTTTTGAGACGGAGTCTCGCTTTTTCGCCCAGGCTGGAGTGCAGTGGCCGGATCTCAGCTCAATGCAAGCTCCGCCTCCCGGGTTCACGCCATTCTCCTGCCTCAGCCTCCCGAGTAGCTGGGAATACAGGCGCCTGCCACCTCGCCCGGCTAGTTTTTTGTATTTTTTAGTAGAGACGGGGTTTCACCGTGCGAGCCAGGATGGTCTCGATCTCCTGACCTTGTGATCCGCCCGTCTCGGCCTCCCAAAGTGCTGGGATTACAGGCTTGAGCCACCGCGCCCGGCCGCATTTTCCAACTAAAAAGTCAAACTTTTTGGGGCAGAGTATATTGGTCTTCCTGAAAATGCAGTGCACGCCAAGCAATTTCGGGATTATCCATGGTTTGGTTTATTTGTACTGTACTCCAGTTATTGGGAAGGATAACCCACACCCTATATTGCCTGCTTACTGATGTATGTGTCTCCTCACTAGAAGGAACACTTCCTGGGAGAGGACCCCCATTAGTAAATGTTTGCTGAATACTGCGGGGTTGACTGTAATTCCATTTTCCAAAATCCATTCTGTATTGTCTCTAAGATTTCTGGATTCTTCTAAACCACCTGCAGGCTTCAAATAAGGCCAGACCCAACTCCCTCTCAGGTCATATCTCCATGTTCACAGGTAGGACACTTCTGCTTATCCCCTGGAAGCAGGCTAAAGAGATGGGGCTCAGCCGGGCGCAGTGGCTCACACCTGTAATCCAAGCACTTTGGGAGACTGAGGGAGTGGATCACGAAGTCAGGAGTTCGAGACCAGCATGGCCAACATGGTGAAACCCTGTCTCTACTAAAAAATACAAAAAAATTAGCTGGGCGTGGTGGCACGTGCCTGTAATCCCAGCTACCTGGGAGGCTGAGGCGGGAGAATCGCTTGAACCCAGGAGGCAGAGGTTGCAGTGAGCTGAGATCATGCCATTGCACTCTAGCCTGGGACTACAAAGACTCCGGCTCAAGAAAAAAAAAAAAAAGAGAGATGGGGCTCACTCAACTTTGAACCTGAGGGTGATAGCCCTGTTCCTTTTTTTTTTTTTTTTTTTTGAGACAGTCTCACTCTATTGCCTAGGCTGGAGTGCAATGATGCAATCTCAGCTCACTGCAGCCTCTGCCTTCCGGGCTCAAGCGAGTCTCCTGCCTCAGCCTCCCCGGTAGCTGAGACCACAGGCATGTACCACTACACCCAGCTAATTTTTGTATTTTTAGTAGAGACAGGGTCTCACCACATTGGCCAGGATAGTCTTGAACTCCTGACCTCAAGTGACCCACCTACCTGGGCCTCCCAAAGTGCTGGGATTACAGGGGTGAGCCACAGTGCCCAGTCAAGCCCTGTTCCTTTACCAATCCTTTTTCTCCCACCAGCTGGCAGGAATAATTTGCCTTGGGTTACATGAAGAAATCAGGGGCCCTGACCATTAGCCAAGATGTAGACGATTGGTTCTTATTTCGTGCCTCCAAGTCCACATGAAGACGCCTGATTAGAGTGCTTCGATTCCTCCCCCACCCCATCTTTTTTTTTTTTTTTTTTTTTGAGACGGAGTCTCACTCTCTCGCCCAGGCAGAAGTGCAGTGGCAGATCTCGGCTCACCATAGCCTCTGCCTCCTGGGTTCAAGCGGTCCTGCCTCAGCCTCCTGAGTAGCTGCAACTACAGGCGCGCGCCACCACGCCTGGCTAATTTTTTTTTTTTTTTTCTATTTTTAGTAGATACAGGGTTTCACCATGTTGGCCAGGATGGCCTCGATCGATCTCCTGACCTCATGATCTGCCCGCCTCGGCCTCCCACAGTGCTGGGATTATAGGCGTGAGCCACTGCGACCGGCCCGATTCCCTTTTATCTGCAGGAACCACCCATTCGTCAGGGCCCTAGGATGATGTAAGAATGAAGTACCCAGGACTGACACCCAATGACAAGGTCCAGCAGCA